TTACCTTGGACGATTTGGAGTCTGACTTTGCCTCAATATGAGCTACTTTGAAGGGCATATCCTTATCAGCATCAAATGCATTTGTTTCATTGTCAATAGTGCACGCCATGTATGCTTGTTCATGAATTCTGTCATTATCCGATCTGGATTCACAGTCACTCCAGGTAGCCATCATTTTACATTCTTTTGCCTTTGACCTCTTAGGACAGTTTGCACGTATATGTCCACTCTTCCCGCATTTATAACAAGCTTGATGTTCCCTCTCCAGAGTACCTGATTCAATATGCCTGGTCTGCTTGTATGGCAGCCTGTCTTGGGAACAATTTTTGTGAGTATCATAAGTAGTATTCCTACTAAACTCATGAATCCTATTCGTCTGATCATTTTTGTACTTCATCATGCGATGAAATTTCTTACTAACCAATGAAAATTCTTTGTCAAACTCTGAATTGACTTTATTTTCATATTCACAATCATAAACATGTGATTTGAAGGCTAAATTCCTTCTACGTTTCACATCATCTCTCCCAACTTGTTGTATGATATGTTCTTGACTCATTAAAGAACCTATTAATTCATCAACCGGCAGAATTTTAAGGTCCTTTGCTTCTTCAATGGTTGTCCTTTTCGGAAGCCATTCTTTTGGTAGGGATCGTAAAAATTTTCGATTTAATTCCTTAGATAGAAAGGTTTTCCCTAATCCTTTAAGCTGATTGACTAAACTAGTATATCTGGAATACATGTGATGGATACTCTCATGAGTCCATAACAAATTCTTCGTAGTCGTGTAGGAGAAGGTCGATCCTTGTTTCTCTGATGTTGGAGGTTCCCTCGTAGGTGTTCTCCAGAACCTTCCAGATTTCCTTCGCCGATTCACTCTGTTCAACCCACTCGACTTCATCAGCACTCATAGCGCTCTGCAAGATGTGCATCGCTATTCAATTGAGCTGTGCGCTCTTCCTCTGTTCGCTGTCCATGAACTATGACTATCAGGGTTCATTTCGAGCGATCCATCCCGAACAATTGACCATAGATCTTCATCGATTCCCCAGAGAAAAGTCCTCATTCGTTTTTTTCAGGCTGTGTATTTCGAACCTGTGAAAAACGGCGCGACACCAAAAGAGAATGAGGATGATGATGTGGCCATGGATCGATTTTCTTGGCAGTAATGAGCTCTCTCAAGGTGAGGCTCTGATACCACTTGTTGACATAAAATGGAGATCGGATTTTTTAGGGATTTTGACTGTAATCGAAATAGCAGAAGTGAAAGGGGGAAAGGCAAAGAAAGACGAGGAATGGAAACAAAGTTTCTGACTTGAGCTTCCTCCTGGTTAACACTTTATTGGGCTTGAGAACAAATGGGTCGGGAATGAAAACAGGAGTAGAAAATGTAAATTAAATTGGGCTTAAGATTCCTACGGCCCATACGCAACCAAGAAGACAAAACAAGCTTAAGCTTCTCGTCTCCTTCCTTCTATGAAAGTAAGGAAGCAGACCTGAAACCCATAAACAGAGTCAAATAAGCAAGTAGACATACACAAACAGAACCAGTACTGAAAGTAAATCAACACACGATTTTAACGAGGTTCCCAAACTACTGGTCACTTCTCGTCTCGGAAATAGCACTTGCTATTTTTCGAGAGACTCTTTTTATTATGACTTTTCCTATCAAGCAAAATGAAAAAGAAACAGAGTAAATAATCTGTAACACCTAACAAAACACCAGCCCAGATCACAATCCGATCTGTATAAACCCTCAACAGCTAAGAACCTCTTCACCTGAACTGTTGATACCCTTGTAACTAAAAGATCAGCCCTCTACCGCTCTCTTTTTCTCAGTTACAATGCTTATTTTTGCAGAAGGCACAAAAACATATATATGAATAGCTTTTTAACCATTGCTGAGCTTCTTCATAAGGAAGGGAATTTGCTGACGAATTCTGCTGAGCAAAATACCTTCCTTTTCTTTCTCTTTCCACTTTTTCGCAACGCTGATTTTGCAATAGCTGATTTCGCCCAACACAATCGATCCACCCATTACCATGTGGGTGGTTTCTATGGGTGGGTGTGAGTTGTAAAATAGGTGACCATAAAAGATTGGGTGGTGCAGGTGGACTGTGGTTGACCCACGACCCACCCAACTTTTTAACCTCAAACCATCGAAACTCTAACATATAGCTTTACTGAAAATGAAATCCTTAAAATCACAAAAAATTCGATCAAAGGATTGTGTTGTGAGGTTTGTTTAGGCATTTGGAGGTACGCTTAAGCATATCTAGTGGACAAATGGTAGAAAAATGACAATTGTCTTCCCAAAATAACACCATCTCAAACTAGCACCGATACGTCCTTTATTTCTTCCATCAATTTGGAATTGTAATTTGCAGCTATAGGTTAAAATCTAGTTACCCTCACAACAACGCCTAGGCGAAAGAGGCGCTAGGCAAGACCAAAACATTTGCCTTATGCCTAGTGCCTTCCTGAACCTTAGTTATTATCATGCTTAGATCATGTTTATTAGTTGAATATTTTATAATTTGTGGACAATTACCAGTACCAATATTGTAAAATAAATGATTCACCTAATTTTATGGATAAGTGTTATTTGTTTGAAAATTTCTTTCATTTAAGTTTAAAATTATTAAAATTTTGTGATCATAACTATAAACCCACCGAATTCACCCAACCACCTATCATCTGCAATCATCCAACCCAACCTCATGCAATGTTTAGGTGGGTGTGGATCATTTTCTCCTTCACCCACCACATACTAAGTGGTTCCAAATCCACCAAAACCCGCATAAAACCATCCACTGCTCAAAGGTGTACAATACAGTCAAAACTTGTACATTCCGTAAGTTTATTAACTGTAGGTAATGTTGCTTGATCTTGTAACGGGAAAAGGGAATTGGAGAGTGTAGAACGGCCGACTAAAAAATCAACAGGTTCCAAGAGAATATAAAAGGGAATTGGAGAGTGTAGAACTGACGACTAAAAATTATAAGATTTTTTAGTGCCCAATCTGCGAATCCACCGACGGTGAATCTGTCGAGCACTTATTCCTTCGATGCCCGGTGGCTGTGTCTTTTCATAATTTGGTGGGCCTCCAATTACTTGATGGATTACTCGAAACTACTCATTTTTTGCTGTTTTGGCGACATTTAATTTGCATTAGGGATATTCCATCTCTTACTCGCTGGGTACTCTTATTTTGGCGACTGTGGAAAAGTCGCTATAATGTTGTTTTCCTCCCCCAGCCCAGTTTACAATCGCCAGCCTTCACCTTCAATTTCAGTCACACCATGCAGACCATCAAATAGCGGTTCAGCCCCACCTAGTAGCTCCGACTCCCTCGCACCTGCCTCGCTGTGCTACATTCTCACATTTTGGGATTCAGATTGCAGTGGTTGGCGCTACGTGCAACCCTACTCATGGTGTTGTGGGTCTTGTTGGGTTTTTTGAAGGACAAGCATCTTTTGGTTTTGGGTGTTCTCTACCCGGGATGCTGGATGCCACTACTGTAGAACTTTTGGCGGTATGGTATGCTTTGCTATTACTTTGCCGTTGGGGATGGCATTATCGACCAGTTCTTGTCACCGGCGATGCTCAAGTGATGTTGGAGAGGTTGACGTCCCGCAATCCTCATGATGCTCATTGTGGCGCAATTTACCGTGAAGTGCTTGATCTCATTGGTCATCTTCCCTTAGTTCATTTTGCTTATACACCTCGAGAAGCGAATTGGGTTGCCCATTGTGTGTCGCGTAATGCCCTACGCCATCATGGTATTAGTAATGTCTTATATGATTATTCGTACATGGTCTGTCTTTGAGTCCGTGTAGGGGCCGTAATTGTTGTGGTTCCACACGCTTATCTGGATAATCCGCGAGGATTTCTATGGGGAAAAAAATGACGACTAAAAAATCAACAGGTTCCAAGAGAATTTGCGTAACAGATGCTTGAATTATGGCATGGTTGTCAAACCGGTCTCATGCCGGCCGGTTCAACCGGTACCAGTCACCAAACCGGCTGGAAAGAGGCCGGTATTTAACTGTGGTCAAATCCGGTCAATGCCGGTCAGACCCGTTCAATTTCGGAAATTCCGGCCGGTTAGACCAGAAACCAGAATTCAATGTTACACATATTTTATTCAAAAATAAACACCCTCCTTAGGATTTGAACCAAGTACCTCATGTTCATTTTAGACTCTCTTATACACCAGTAGGCTACAAGCAACTTTGTTGCATATATTAACCTTATATATTATATATCTAACCTTAAATTTTACACAAATCATTATAAACATTAATAAAATTCATTTTATATACTTTTATTTTTAAGCATCTAGTTGTTTAGTATTAATTACCAATTCTTAGCTATAAATTATTTTCTGTGAAATAATTTTTCTAATTGCTTTTTGATGACTAATTTATTTGGAATTGAGGATTTCCATTTGTCTCATATATTTTATTAAAACTGGCACAACCAGCGTGAATACTGGTTGTACCACGGTCGGACCATTCCACTTTCAAAACCGGCACACCGACATAAACCGGTTTGACAACCTTGAATTATGGTAAAGGAGTCGAATAAAAGACCTACACATCTCATACCGCCACACTTCAACAAATTTTGATATTCTCAAAGACAATTCTGGCCATTTTTTTTTATCGAGTTCGGACCAAATTTTCATCGGATTTGAAGGTGCAAATATCAAACAAATATCAATCACTTCAGTGAAAAAGTGATTATTTTGTAAGTCACCTATATTTACATTACCCCCAAAAATATAGAGGAAATTACCGAAGGGTCAATGAAAAGGCCCAAACCACCCAAGCCAGCCCAATACTAGTGCACCCAATAATAAAAAAAAAAACAAGCCCAGAATGACCCAAAAAAGGCGGCCCACTGGAATTAAAGGGAACGGAATCCCGTTCAAATTTCCCTCCGGCGGCCTCCACACGCCAATGCTTCCATTTTTCGCACTTCTAAGTTCTAATAGAAGGGAAAGCACGCAGTAGTTGAGGACATGAGGTAGTCCGCCGTCTCCCACTCTCCCGCGCTTCGTGCTTCGTCGGAGACTCAACGGAGAACCAAAGTTTGCAGGTAAAAGAAATGGCTCCATACGGTTTCCTTCTATTAGCGTTCAGCGGCTTCGCCAGTTCTCCTTCGTTGATTAAAGCAATCTCCCCAACATGATTTCGCTTGATTTTAGGGCGGGAGGAGGAGTCGAAGGTGGCTTAATCTGCATGCTAAACGGTAATCGTTTGGAGTCGGAAAGCTTAAAGAATGGACGCTGATTTGGATCCCTTCGAAGATGTATTTGATGAGCCGGCGGCGCCTCGAGGTAAAATCCTATTTGTTCGTTGCATTCTCTGATGTTTATTCTATACAGAACAAGGGTTTTTTTCTATCTGTTGATTGATTTTTTGCGCTTTCTTTAATAGCTCGGCCTGCGGGGAAGTTCCAGCCGAAGAACCGACCTAGGAAGGGAAAGGCTGCCGCAGTCGCTCCTCCATCTGTTCATGCCACTGCTGCTGCAAATAAATCTACTGAGACGGCCTCAGATGGCGATGGCGGCGGTGGTGATGCTACATTGGGGGATTTGGATTCTTCGTCTAGAAAAGCCGACGCCGCAGAGGTCCGAGAATTGCAGTTTGTAGGGGTTATTGTGTCTAGACTTTTGCTCTACTGCTGACGAAGTTATACGGGTTTTCAGATTGTTGACATTTTTTTTGGGGTTGGACGCCATCCATGATTTAGTTACTCAGCCCCCAAGTGATCCAGGTGAGTGCCATGGAAACTTGACAATAGATGATCATTTCTCCATTATGTTCATGATGTTGGAGCAATGATAACGTGGAAGGTTTGTGTCCTTTCCTCAGGGGTTTCAGTTCCTTGTACAAATGAAGGGCTAGCTGGGCCGCAGTCGAGTTCGTTGGTTCAAGAGTCTGTTGATTCTTCAGAGTTCAGGAGTGACATGGCAACCAAAGATCCAGTAGCTGTTGATAATGATGGCGAGAGGTTACTATCGGAGGTGAATATCTTTACCTTTGTTAAAATGGAGAGAAACAGAATTTGGCTTGGACTAATTTGATGCGAACTGATTAATTGCAGGCATCAGGTGGCTTTCCCAACCTAGAAGCAACAAATGTCTTCTCCGAGTCTGCTGTTGCATCAGGTAAGCTTATATCAATGCCTCAGATTTCTTTTCCTTATGCTTCAAAATAACATCTGAACTAATTCACAATGATGTCGTCCTCCCAGATGGAGTTGACTCTCTTGTCCCTCCAGAGGATACATATTTAATTGCATCTGAGACCAGATATGAAAGTGAGAGCTCATTGCCCGCAGCACAAGGTGATGCTGTTTCGTATTACTCGTCCAGGAGCTTCGATGATTATCTACCGTCACCACCTCCTGCTTCTGAGTTTCCTATGAGTTCAGAACATACAGATTCAAGGCAAATATTTACCTTGAATGAGGCAGATAAAAATGATTCTTTGAGGGTTGTACCAGATTTGGTGGAAAATGAGGTAATTTTGTTTTGGCGCAGTATGATGCTTTAAGTTTTATTGGCATGCTTTTAACTTGTTTTCTGTTCTGTCTCAGGGTCAAGAGAGTAGTGAAAAGAATGGTTTGGAGCCTGATCTCTCACGGAAGTCCAAAGCCAACGGCAGAAATGGTGGGAAGTTGTTGAGAAAGCGATCAGGCACACGTCAAGCTGTTGACCAACCCGAAAATGAAGGTTATGTTGGAAGCAGCTCCCCTGTTGGAGCACCTGGTTTCCCGGTTACAGATGAAGAGAATGATAGTGAATATCAGTTGGATGGGGATGACAATAATGATAATGGTGGCGATGATGATTTTGATGGTGGAGAAAGCACCGACAAAAAGAAGAGAGCTTCTAAAAGGTAAAAGAAATCAGTTCCAGATAAAGAAACTGGAGGTCGGAAGCGTAAGAAAGCCAGTGAGACATCTGAACAGCCGAGCCAGAAACCTCCTAAGAAGTTTGCTCACACAACTCGCCGAAAGAAAAGATACAGTAAGTATGATTTCATTAATAAACATGAGTTACTTTTGCTTTCCTTAAAAGCTTTGACTCTTTTCATACAGGGAATGATGAGTTGCTCAAGGTTCCTGAAGATGAAATTGATTTTCGGAGCTTGCCCATCCGGGATATAATTTTTCTCGGTGAACGTATAGAACGATTAGCTGTGGGTAACCTGTTGCCCTGAAGATCTTGAATGATGTTTTTGCGTATATTTTACTACTATTTCTTAACCCAATATCTCTTGTTGGTGCTAGGAGCTCACATATGTGTCTTTATGCGCAGACTAAAGAGGCAAAAGCTTTGAAAAGTCGTTCAACAGATGAAGGGTAAGAAGTGTTCCATAGCTGAAGGATTAATGATTTAACAATCTTGCTCTCATCATGTCTAGTTCATCCTTTTCCATTTGATCTTGACTACATGACCAATCAATTTCATCTCATAAAATGTAATACCCTTTGTAGCACCAGCACTGCCCATAATGTAGTGGATGAAGCTGAGCTCGATGAAGATGGCAACATATCAGATAATACCCCTTTATTCAACAGCCACTCTTTCATGAATAGGACACGTAAGGTGAGGTGGTCAAAACAAGAGACAGAACTATTTTACGAGGTATGAACACAACACACCAATTTAAATATGTTTGCTAATTCAATAAATTACTCTTAGGGATAATATAATTAATTTGTGTAACAAATGCAATTATGTTAAAGAACGCCCTTATAAATCCTTGTGTGTATTATGATTGGATGAAGATCTGGGAGTGGGAATGATAGTGGAGTATCTCAGATAAGGATTGACACCCTAAGACATCCAGTTACTGAGAGAGAAGTTCTTGTTAGAAGTGTTGTATTATGCTATTGCAGCTTCAAAATCTGGCCGATACTTTTTACATTAAATTTCATGCTCTTTAAGCAGCATAAGTGAGCTAGAATGGGTGGCTGCATCAATTCAATAACTGCCACCATTTAGACACTTTCTTTCTTAGTAGTATTTGTTTCTTGTGATCATATTACTGGATCATGATGGCTCTACTGCGCTTCTAAATTAAAGAGCTGTTGTTTAAACAAGCCTGGAGCTCTCTCCTTGACTCTTTCTCACCCAGACATGATCTCCTGACACTATTAGGGAATCAGACAGTTTGGAACTGATCTCTCACTGGTACAACAATTGTTTCCTGGGAGGGATCGCCGTCAGATCAAGAATAAATTTAAGGCTGAAGAGCGCCGTCAGCCGTTTTTACTTTTTGAAGCTCTGGGAAATCGTGACAGAGGTACTTGTCTTCTCATGTTGATCTAATTAAGCCTTCTGGGTTAATTGCAAGGATGGTCACTGGGTTTACTAAAACCGTTCATGTTTGGTCACTGCAAATATTTAATTCCATTCATGGTCACTAAGATTAGTTCAATGGTTCAAGTTTGGTCACTCTCCGTTAGTCTCCGTTAGTTTTTGCTGATGTGGCAGTCAACTATTATAGTTGACCGTTAAATGAGTGACGTGGCCAATAAAAAAATAAAAAAATAAATTTTTTTAAATATTTACAATTTCCACCTCATTTTACAACTATTAAAAAATAAAAATAAAAATAAAACTTACCTTTTTCGCCACCCTCCTTCTCACTTTAGTCCAAACTAGGCAGCAGCATATTGTTATAATGGACTCAGGGAAAAGCCCACCATGAAGCTCCGCCTAAAACACCGGCCGCTGACTCAGGGAAAAGGATCCTCCTCCGCAGCCGGGTCCAAGCCTAAGCAGGAAGCCTTCTTCGTATCGGCGACCCAGGACTTGGCCAGAATTCAGACTCTGTACCGAAGAATCACGGAGAAGAAGAATCAGAATGCCGTCTCCAGATTGGAAAACGAAAAGTCAAAGCAGGGAAAGCGCGTGGTGGAGAAGCAGCCAGCGACGGCGGCGGCCGTGCCCTCGTCGGGCGTCTCCGGGCAGCTGATGGCGACTTTGGGGTCAGGGGTGGCACTGGGTTCCGGCGAATACTTCATGGACGTCTTCATCGGTACACCTCCTAAGCACTTCTCTTTAATTCTGGATACCGGTAGTGACCTCAATTGGATTCAATGATTGACGACGCCGAGAAACAGAAAGGCGCCGTCGCGTGTCCAAACTAAGTGAGAGCAAGAGTAAAGAGTTCAGAAGCGGCGAATTCTTACCATGATTGACGACGGAGCTGACTGTAAGCACCGGCGGTTCCTAGTTCGGGCGACGCGAGTCCAAGGGAAAGAATAATCCGGGCGGAGATCCATTATAACAATATGCTGCTCCTCGGTTTGGACTAAAGTGAGAAGAAAGGTGGCGAAAAAGGTAAGTTTTATTTTTATTTTTATTTTTTAATAGTTGTAAAATGAGGTGGAAATTGTAAATATTTATTTTTTTTATTTTTTTTTATTTTTATTGGCCACGTCACTCATTTAATGGTCAACTATAATAGTTGACTGCCACATCAGCAAAAACTAACGGAGACTAACGGAGAGTGACCAAACTTGAACTATTGAACTAATCTTAGTGACCATGAATGGAATTAAATATTTGCAGTGACCAAACATGAACGGTTTTAGTAAATCCAGTGACCATCCTTGCAATTAACCCTAAGCCTTCTCATGGTAATTGCGATGACTTGTTAGAATGTTTCGCCACAAAGTGAGGATGCATCCGTAGGTGGCTTCTCACTGTAGGTGCAAAATTTGAATTCGTACCAATTGTATCTGAGAGATAAATTTCAAATTAGATGCAGTAATTGATACTCTAATCGGGAACTATTCAGTGTCTGGTGCCCTCTGGTGTTTCTGAATGTAGCATTTGTTCTCGTTTGCAGACAGTTCATATTTTGAGAGAGTAATTGATCAGCTGCAGAAAGCTGCTGCTGAGGCAGGTAGAGAGTTAAAGAGAGACGAGCCAACGGATGAGGCGGAAGAGGGGGAAGAGGTGAATCTGGAAACCGACGTAATCCATATAGTGCTCTGTCATCGGTTTCTCTACTTACGCTTACCTTTTGGAAGCCATCGATTTTTTGTACTTTTGTTATGTCTTCCCATGGGGAATGGATCAGGTCAGTAACCTTATGGTGAGTAACCATGAGTAACCCGTCCACATCAGCATGACATCAACATCCTCTCTCTCATGGAAAGCCTTTAATTTTTCCCTTTTTAATATTTGACGGACGATTTCTCGCTCATTTTAAGTCGAAATTTAATTTTTTTTGCACAGTTAGATCAGATTAATTGTGCTCTTCAAAATGATATCCACTTTAATATATTTTTCGAACAAAAAAAATTGAGTCATTTTTTACCAGCCTATACCATATGGTATTGAAATAAAAGCATACCTATGTTTTGGAAAACGTACCATGGTGGTATGAACAAACCAATACTGTAGGATGGTTGAATACATGATAGTAGAAGTATATTAATTGTAATTTACGATTTTTAACATTGTATACCACACAATACCACCCTGTACAGGGTGGTATTGTGTGGTATTTTTTGGTCCTGTAATTTGTTCACCCAGAAATTTGTAGATCCAATAGATCATGATGAACTCGTCCCTTCTGTGCAAACGTTTTCAAAAACGAATTAAAAACGAAGAAGATACCATACAATACCACCCCGTACCAGGGTAGTATTGTATGGTATTGCGTGGTATTTTTTGATCCTGTAATTTGTTCACCAAGAAATTTGTAGATCCAGTAGATCATGATGAACTCATCCCTGCTGTGCAAACGTTTTCAAAAACGATTAAAAACGAAGAAGATACCATATGGTATGCAGTTGGTACCGAGAGGCCAGAATTTTTTTTCCTAAAAAAATATTGAAAATTGATCTCATTTTGTAGAGCACGGTGAACTCGTTCCATCTGTGCAAAAAAAATTAAAATCCGAGTTAAAACGAAAAAGATGAGTCAATTAAGAAAGCTAGTGAAAATAAAAATAGTATTTAATTCTTCATCCTTAGATCTGGACTTTCTAAATGAAGGGTCCAGATTTGATTATTGATGAGTGCATAACCCATGGTTATGCACCTTATCTTGAGCCCTTCCCATGTATCTGCTTGAATTCCTTGATTTTGACTCTTATAATCAAAAAATAATTTCTAAACCAACCCCTATTCCTGTAATGTCGTTGCAGGAGGAAGCAGGGAACTCAGAGCTAGATGAGCCAGCAACAGCAGGTCATGATCCTGAAGAAATCATTGTTGATGCCCCTAGTCCGGGGAAGTTTGAGGAGGAAGAGATTATTGAAGATGAAGATGATCTATGGAGCTCATATCAAAGTGAATTTTGAATAGTAGCAGACTGACATAAAGTATGTTAGAAACAAGGTTTCTAACAGAATTGGGATTGGGGAATTTAGCTAGATCAATTAGGGATTGATCTAACTAGAGATTAGAATTGGGGATTTTAGAATAAGGAGAGGGAAAGAATGGTGATGCTGCCGCAGCTTTGGAGAAGCAGAGGGAGAGGGAGAACTCGCAGGAGAGAGAGAAGAGAGAGAGTTAGGGTTTAGGTTTTTGGTTCTGTAATTGCTTAATCCCAAAATAAGACCACTATTACAGATTATATAACCTGTCTAATTCCTATCTGCTACCCAAATAATAAAACGTAACAATTGACTCCCTGTTTATTCCCCCAAATACCCAAATAATCCCCCAATCATTAAAAACCGACACTAATACGAAATAACCAAAAACTGCAAATAATTGTGTTTCCCACATCCCCGCTTCCTTCGAAAAACAACCTTGTCCTCAAGGTTGTTCCTCCAGCTCACTAGGTCTCTTCCTCTCCATTTCCAGCGTCCTCGGCTTCATCTTCTGCTTCATCTTCCCAGCGCCTAACTAACATCATCAAATCCGGCTTCGGGCACTGATGACCAATGGTGAACCGACCATCACAGTTGAAGCACTTGCCCTCCCGCCTTTTCTGCTCAATCTCGGCCGGCGTCAGTCGCACGAACCCCTTTGGTATAGCCCGCGGCCCCATCCTGGCCACCGGAGCAGGGCCTCCACTGCCGGCGTTGGCCCCAGTCGAGCCTCCCACGGGCGCCCCTCCTGTGCCGCTACTATTTCCGCTGCCTCCTGTTCCTCCACTCGACTTGGAGAAGCGGCCAATGGTGCTCCTCCAGCTAGCCAGTTCTTCCTCCCTATGACTTGCAAGACGAAAAGCAGTTTTCACAGAATCGGACTCAAACACTCTGACTGCTGCTGCGATCTCGGGCTTGAGACCCGCCATGCACAACCCCACCAAGGTGTCCTCCGAGACCCCCTTACACTGGTTCCCCAACGTGAAGAACTCCGCACGGTACTCAGCCACTGTGCCGGTCTGTTTCAGCTTCGCCAACTGCTCCGGAGCCCATCCATCTGACTTCGCAAACTGATAGCGGAGCTCTTCCTGAAACATGGGCCAGGTGATCAAGGTTGCTGCCGCTGCGTAGGATCTCTCCATCCACTCCCACCATTGGAGCGCATCGCCCTCCAGATAGAACGATGCCAGATAGGCCTACCTCTCCTCCGGAATTGGGTGGTTCTTAAACCACCTCTCAACTACATACAACCAAAGACCTGCATCCTCCTGCCCATTGAATTTGGGAAACTCAATGGTAGGAGGCTTAGCTCGAAAAACTATCCCATCCATTCCCTCATAGTTCGAATACTGGGGCTCATACCTGTCATTTCCTGGCGTCCTCCACGGCTGCCCCCACTGAGAGCACTGCATCTGGTTTGGATTCCCGTGCCCATAATCGCCCGGGTAGCCGCCCGGCTGATTCGGGTATCCCCCTGGAACCTGAGGCGCCTCGTACGGGCCCTCCCCTCCTCCTGGACCCCTGCTATCCAACCGCCGGTTCGGCTGAGCGGTAGGACTCGGTCGATGCCCAGTTCGACCCACCTCAGGTCGACCCATCCCGGTCCGCCCCAGTCCGGTCCGGCTCAACTCGGTCCGATCAGCACTGATCTGCCCAATCCCGGTTCGCTCCGGTTCGGTCCGACCCCCTCCTGGCCCGTCCACCTGTCCCGGCCCAATAGGAGCCGACCCGCTTGGCGCCATCTGGTTGGCGGCCCTGCTCGGCCCACCAGGGCCCCTCTGGTTCATCTCCTGCTGGCCCGCCAAGCTCAGTTTGTCATACTCGGGCCCATCTTCCAGATCCAGCCATCCCAGCCCGTTATGGATCCTCGTGTAGTGACCCAACTGCCCCGACCCACCATTCATAGGAGGCCCATCTGTGTCATACCCAGCCATCTTAGCCTTCCCTTTTCAGGCCGCAATTTCTTGGGCCGTGGGTGTCGGTAACAGGCCCGAGCCCGAGCCCAACCCTACTGCAGTCCGACCAGCCCAGCCCGGCACAGTGTCCGCCACCCTGCTCCCCTCGGCCGTCTCAACTGGCGCGTCAGCTTGAGCCGCCGTCACCCCGCCGGGATCGCCCCGCCGCCGGGCCCGCTGCCCGCCCCGACCTCCGTCGCCGTAGCACCCACCGCCGCCGACAGCGCCACCGCCGCGGTCGCCCCGCCTCCTGCCGCCGCCTCCGCCACACCCGGGCCGCCGCCTCCTTCGAACGTCGGCTCCGCCGGGGTCGGTGCTCCCCCTGGACCGTTTCCTTTTGCCTGCAACGAGGTAATTGCCCTCATCAGGTCCTCCAGCCTCTGACGCAGATCGTCAGCATCCTCCTTCGCATCAGCCTGCACTCTTGCCAGGCCTTCTTCGAGCCTAGCCAGCGCATCAGAGTGCTCGTGCACCACCACCTTCACCGCCTCCAGCTCGATGAGGTCCTCCATCACCACCCCGTCAAGACCAGCACCGCCCGTCTCGGCACTCCTCTCGGCTGCCTGCGCTGCCTTCTCCGCCGCCTTCATCGATTTCGTCGACACCATCGTTGCTTTCCCTGGTTCAAGAGTTCAGAGGAACTCACTCTCGAGCCAGGCTCTGATACTAGATGTTAGAAACAAGGTTTCTAACAGAATTGGGATTGGGGAATTTAGCTAGATCAATTAGGGATTGATATAACTAGGGATTAGAATTGAGGATTTTAGAATAAGGAGAGGGAAAGAATGGTGCTGCTGCCGCAGCTTTGGAGAAGCAGAGGGAGAGGGAGAACTCGCAGGAGAGAGAGAAGAGAGAGAGTTAGGGTTTAGGTTTTTGGTTCTGTAATTGCTTAATCCCAAAATAAGACCACTATTACAGATTATATAACCTGTCTAATTCCTATCTGCTACCCAAATAATAAAACGTAACAATTGACTCCCTGTTTATTCCCCCAAATACCCAAATAATCCCCCAATCATAAAAAATCGACACTAATACGAAATAACCAAAAACTGCAAATAATTGTGTTTCCCACAAAGTAACTTGTATTTACTTCTCTGCCTCCTTTTGTTTCTGCTTCCAGCCCAGCCTAGCTCTTATTGTACAGTAACCTTAATACTAGTAAGTATAAAATTTACTTCTCAGCCTCCTTTTGTTTCTACCTCTCGTATGCCAAAATATGTGGTGTTGAAGACACTACAACAAAACTACTTTTCTGTGACGAATTTTTTTGTGATGGAGCAAGATTCGTCACATAAAATATGCTTTATGTGACGAAATTTGTAACTCGTCACCAAAACTTGAGCCAAACTCTTAGACTTTTAAAGGCACCAACTGTAACGAAATTCTTTTATTATGTGACGAGAACCAGAGTTACATAAAGTTTTTCATTTTTTGTGATGAAAAGTGAATGTCACATTTCTTGAATGCGCGTGAGTGACGATGGGATTAGTCACATAAAACATATTCAAAAAAGGAAATTATATTATATATTATGTAACACCCTAACCTGATAAGGTGCTACTTTTACCAAAATACCCTTGAAAAGTAATGAATATTAAAATGCTTTGAATAACAGCGGAAACCTCGTACATTTAACAATACTTAAAACATGAACAACCTTGAGATATTAGTTTTAATAAATCTTCATCGTAAAATCACATCAAGTCTCTCGTCCCACTAAAGTACTGAACTTAACTTCTTCCTTCTGGAGCGCTCTGGAGTCAATGATGAATTGCTGAATCCATATGCGTGCTTATGTGCTTCTATGATTCCTGAATGCGGGCGTTGGGGTCAGTCCTAATCCTAATTCCATTCTTGACATAATATAGAAAATGAAGCAAAATGCAAATGGTTGCAAATGTTCATGCATAAAATATTACTGGACTTGTAAATGATTTTCTTGAAATAGACATTCTTTACGAAAAGGGGGCCCCGAGCTCAACTTAACTAGCACGCCACAACGATCACCGACATACTTGAACATGATCTTATTACCCAGGAGTAGGGTTCGTAACCTCCTTATTACCCAGGAGTGGGGTTCGTAACCTCCTTTTTACCCAGGAGTAGGGTTCGTAACCTCCTTAATCATAACATGAGGTGACCGCGTGCGGCTAGCTAAGTGAGGGTTAAAACATGATCTTGCTTACTTACTGAACCTACTTGGTTGACATGATGATCATCCTCCGCTCAATGGGAGATCCAATCTTATGACTTGCTTAACTTATAAAATCGTACTTCTTTTAAAAGTAACTTGACTTGCTTAGTTAAAACATATGTATCCATGAAACATGATCATGCTATGCATACTTAAAACATAACTTGTATCGTCTTGTCTTAAAACATAACTTTGCGATGCAATGCCATGCCATGCTATGCTTAAGAAATGAACATAATTCATAAACTTGGAAATGGATCTCATGAACACATAGCTCAAGCATAAATAGCATTTAAAGACATATCAATTAATTCAAGCAACATGCAGTGTAAATAACTCAGAATGGAATACTAACTAATGCCCCCTCAAACCACGCACCTTATTAGCTTAAGTCGGATTTAGCCACCAACTCAAGAAATCGGTGCTCTTCATGGGTGAAATGCCTTGGCGAACCTATGACGAAAGTCGAGGTTAGATCGATTGTGTTTCGGGTTCTTAGTGACGGTTCTCTCGACTTGGAACTACTTCGCAATAATTGCAAAGTACGGTTAATTGACGTATTAAATAATTTGTCATATAAAACCTCCGCTCCCTAAATCTATGCCAATTAAAATACTTGGAACTAATCATGCTAAAATCACTTTTACCTAGCATATAATAACATATATTACCATACTAAATAAACTAGTAGATTTACCCATTAACTGCCAATGATAAATTTTACTTACTAATCATATAAAATATCATACTGGTTAAACTAATATTTTCTAACTAATACTTAAATCATCTTAATCCATTAAGTTGCTTACAAACCTCTTATCATATTATAGTCTTTATATTATTGGATAAAATACTTAATTAACTCAAACTAAACCATTTTATCAACTACTAACTTATTAACATCCTAATCCATGCATGTCTATTAACTCAATTGCACATTAATTCAAATAACTTTACATAATTCACCTAGAGACTTAATATGCAAAAGATACAGCTCCTTTAGTGACAGTCGCCGGAACAGTCACTAGAACTATGACATCTCGTCCCTAAAAGGAATGCCACTGACACTGGTTGGCCAGACTATAGCCACGGCGGCTTATTTTGTTGCTAAAAGCCTGTAATTTCCGTCGCTAATTTCCCAAAAAACTATAAACTCCTATTTAGTAGTCCAAATGCCGATTTAAACGCGATGGGTCGAGTTTCCTTACCTTGTATTCGTGCCTAGACATCGATACAAAGATGTATGGCCCTTGTTCCTTGTTTGGGTCGACATTCGATGACCCGCATCCTCCCCGTCAATGCTATGGTTCGAGAGACAGAGGAAGAGACTCTCGATGGAAACAATTGCTCGTGTCGTGGTAGCTATCCGATCGACGATGATGAGGAAACTTCATGTGGCAAGGAAAGGATGGACAAATTTAATGGCAATGAGGGATGAGTGCTGGCGTTCTTGGAGAAGCAGTAGTGATGGAGAGGAGCGATAGATCAGGGACAAGTGAAGACTACATATTTCATGGCCTTTAAAACTTGTGAATGGAAGGGCTGCCTGTTGTCTTGAAATGAATGGAGCATAGAAAATTATATCTTTAACATAAGTGATGATGGGGTTCTGCAAAGCTAACGTGATGTGAAGTAATGGTGTTGGTGGTTGATGACTATTAAGCTATTAGTTAAATGGGTCATGGGAGATATGTGGAAAAGTGGGGTGAGTGATTTGACAGGTGCATGTAACTTAGATCACCTCAATTATATGGTTGGAGAAGGGTAATTAGGGAAACACAATGTTAATCTGGATTGGGGTGTTACATTTCCTCCCTACTTATAAAAATTTCGTCCCCGAAATTTACTGATGACTGTAGCTTCTAACGTCTAGTCGTGTGAACTTGTTATCGGCCATATCCATGAGCAATCGCATTTCCTGAACTGGTTTAACATAACTTATCGCTTCCACCTAAATCAAAGTCCTCGTACTTATTCTTAAATTGTTCGTATCCTCTTAATTCGTATCTTGTCATTCCTTAACCACCTTGAACCAACCGTCTTGGTTTACCACTCCAGAACTATTAGAGAACGAGACTTGATGTTTTCAAAACTAATCTTGAATTCAATTGGCTAGTTGAAATTGCCAAAACCTTTTAAAACTTTCCTTGAAAACATAGAGATCGATTTCCCAGTATCTCACTTAGATAGTGAAGACAGAGGGAGACCGGCTCTGATACCAAGCTGTAACACCCTAACCTGATAAGGTGCTACTTTTACCAAAATACCCTTGAAAAGTAATGAATATTAAAATGCTTTGAATAACAGCGGAAACCTCGTACATTTAACAATACTTAAAACATGAACAACCTTGAGATATTAGTTTTAATAAATCTTCATCGTAAAATCACATCAAGTCTCTCGTCCCACTAAAGTACTGAAATTAACTTCTTCCTTCTGGAGCGCTCTGGAGTCAATGATGAATTGCTGAATCCATATGCGTGCTTATGTGCTTCTATGATTCCTGAATGCGGGCGTTGGGGTCAGTCCTAATCCTATATTCCATTCTTGACATCATATATATAAAATGAACCAACATACATAATGAGTGCAAATGTTCATGCATAAAATATTACCGGACTTGTAAATGATTTTCTTGAAATAGACATTCTTTACGAAAAGGGGGCCCCGAGCTCAACTTAACTAGCACGCCACAACGATCACCGACATACTTGAACATGATCTTATTACCCAGGAGTAGGGTTCGTAACCTCCTTATTACCCAGGAGTGGGGTTCGTAACCTCCTTTTTACCCAGGAGTAGGGTTCGTAACCTCCTTAATCATAACATGAGGTGACCGCGTGCGGCTAGCTAAGTGAGGGTTAAAACATGATCTTGCTTACTTACTGAACCTACTTGGTTGACATGATGATCATCCTCCGCTCAATGGGAGATCCAATCTTATGACTTGCTTAACTTATAAAATCGTACTTCTTTTAAAAGTAACTTGACTTGCTTAGTTAAAACATATGTATCCATGAAACATGATCATGCTATGCATACTTAAAACATAACTTGTATCGTCTTGTCTTAAAACATAACTTTGCGATGCAATGCCATGCCATGCTATGCTTAAGAAATGAACATAATTCATAAACTTGGAAATGGATCTCATGAACACATAGCTCAAGCATAAATAGCATTTAAAGACATATCAATTAATTCAAGCAACATGCAGTGTAAATAACTCAGAATGGAATACTAACTAATGCCCCCTCAAACCACGCACCTTATTAGCTTAAGTCGGATTTAGCCACCAACTCAAGAAATCGGTGCTCTTCATGGGTGAAATGCCTTGGCGAACCTATGACGAAAGTCGAGGTTAGATCGATTGTGTTTCGGGTTCTTAGTGACGGTTCTCTCGACTTGGAACTACTTCGCAATAATTGCAAAGTACGGTTAATTGACGTATTAAATAATTTGTCATATAAAACCTCCGCTCCCTAAATCTATGCCAATTAAAATACTTGGAACTAATCATGCTAAAATCACTTTTACCTAGCATATAATAACATATATTACCATACTAAATAAACTAGTAGATTTACCCATTAACTGCCAATGATAAATTTTACTTACTAATCATATAAAATATCATACTGGTTAAACTAATATTTTCTAACTAATACTTAAATCATCTTAATCCATTAAGTTGCTTACAAACCTCTTATCATATTATAGTCTTTATATTATTGGATAAAATACTTAATTAACTCAAACTAAACCATTTTATCAACTACTAACTTATTAACATCCTAATCCATGCATGTCTATTAACTCAATTGCACATTAATTCAAATAACTTTACATAATTCACCTAGAGACTTAATATGCAAAAGATACAGCTCCTTTAGTGACAGTCGCCGGAACAGTCACTAGAACTATGACATCTCGTCCCTAAAAGGAATGCCACTGACACTGGTTGGCCAGACTATAGCCACGGCGGCTTATTTTGTTGCTAAAAGCCTGTAATTTCCGTCGCTAATTTCCCAAAAAACTATAAACTCCTATTTAGTAGTCCAAATGCCGATTTAAACGCGATGGGTCGAGTTTCCTTACCTTGTATTCGTGCCTAGACATCGATACAAAGATGTATGGCCCTTGTTCCTTGTTTGGGTCGACATTCGATGACCCGCATCCTCCCCGTCAATGCTATGGTTCGAGAGACAGAGGAAGAGACTCTCGATGGAAACAATTGCTCGTGTCGTGGTAGCTATCCGATCGACGATGATGAGGAAACTTCATGTGGCAAGGAAAGGATGGACAAATTTAATGGCAATGAGGGATGAGTGCTGGCGTTCTTGGAGAAGCAGTAGTGATGGAGAGGAGCGATAGATCAGGGACAAGTGAAGACTACATATTTCATGGCCTTTAAAACTTGTGAATGGAAGGGCTGCCTGTTGTCTTGAAATGAATGGAGCATAGAAAATTATATCTTTAACATAAGTGATGATGGGGTTCTGCAAAGCTAACGTGATGTGAAGTAATGGTGTTGGTGGTTGATGACTATTAAGCTATTAGTTAAATGGGTCATGGGAGATATGTGGAAAAGTGGGGTGAGTGATTTGACAGGTGCATGTAACTTAGATCACCTCAATTATATGGTTGGAGAAGGGTAATTAGGGAAACACAATGTTAATCTGGATTGGGGTGTTACATATTAGGTGGAAACTTGAATTTTAATCCCAAAATATTTCCCTTTACCTTTTTGGCTTTTTACCTTGATTTTTTCGTGTGGGTGGAAGAGTCCAGAAGAAGAGGGGTCTCTCATTTTTCCAAGCTACTTCTCCATTCTGCTACTCTCTGATTCCACCGTTATCTGATCATCATTATCATCGTTCTTCCAGATCTTTGATTTTCAGCTTCTTTATATTTCTTTATCAGTCCGATTTGTCGTTTTTCTCTTCATCGTTGATTCTGCATAATACATATCGCGGCCAGGTTCCGGTTAAAGATCGAAAAGTTAGGGTTTGATGTGCGATTTTGCTTCTTTCTCATTTTTGGGAGCTAAGAGTACAGGCCAAATAATCTTTGGCTAAGCGGTAGACCCATGAGATATCAAAGCTCTGACGAATTAACTTCTGGACTCTTCCACCAGATTTCGAAAACTTCTATCAATGATCGCTGTCTTCAACGACCTAGATTGATGAGGTTCATTCTTTCAACACGAAGAGAACAACGCTTCTTTGTTCTCCAACTCCAGGTAAACAACCAGAAGTAAAATCGCTAGAAGGTAGGAATCAAGCTCTTCACTAGAGGTTGTGAATCTATTTTACTGCTCTCTTTTTGCCCTTTCCCCTGTTTTGCGCTGTTGTTTCAATCTATCTAACCTATGACCAGATATCCGGGCCTTGGATTCTAACTCGATGGCTACCTTTGCAGGATCATCCAAATATGCAACAAATCAGCTCCTCAACTTGTTTAAACCTTTTGGAGTCGTTATCAAGGTATACAATCAATCTCTCAGTGCTGTTGGATTTCAGTTTTGCTATAATCTAACTTGGACCTAGCTGATAGCTGTTGATTCAAGAATGGATTAAGTGAAAGGATTTGGCTTTCCAAGATTTCACACGGACACAAATCACCAAAGAGGCTTTGAATGCCAGTGTAAACACACTTCCTTCCTACTGCATCTCCTTTCATTGTACACAAAAGAGCTCCCTTGTTGTTTCACCCATGTTTATTACCAACTTCTCTTCAAATGGACTTTCCAGCTACTGGTTTAGTTCAGTGCAATATTATGCACGTGCTGTTAAGTTTAATGTTCACTTTGGAGAATCCATTAGTATTTATGAGTATGAATCATGGACACAAGAGCATTCATTCCTTTTGGCAATTGTATTTTCTATATGTTTTGAGATTCAGATAACAAAGCTGATACAAGAAGCTCAAGACATGAAATGCAACCAGGAAGTAGAGCCTATTATCAACACAATGCACTCTTACATTCTCATGCTCCCATTGGAGATAAGCAAGGTCATGATCATTCCGTAATGGTTTTCTCATTTTAGACTAGAGAACGTAGTGGTTGTGTTGTTGTGGTTGATAAAAAGGTAGTTTTTTTTGCATATGAAGAGCTCTCGAATGTTTATGGTCTACTGAAATGGATCTCTATGCATGTGTGGTTTGTCAAGAACCGTGAAGAATCTTCTCCAAAACTTCAACCCGAAAAGATGCCAGATAATAATGTCACTTGATTTCCTTGCAATTATATATGAGAACTCAAATGTGAGGATGTTAGTTACTTGTCCAAGCATTAGAGCGAGGTATTGGATTTATCAATCTAATTCCCTAAGTTGTCTTACTAGTAATGTAACTGTGTTTTCACTTTTGTCTTATGATGTACTCCTTGGTTCACATGTTTTGAATCATGACCAGCTACAACATGAATGGATGACAGTAGCAACAATCTAGTGAACTTTGAGAAAAGTTCTCCTCTAGAAAAATAGCTAAGGCCGAAGAGAATTAAAGTATCAAGTTAAGGGTTCCTATGGAATTTTCTTTCTTTAAATGCACCAGACAATGTTAAGTGAACAAAGACAGCGAGCCATTCTCTTCTAAGCCATAGATCTGGTTCGTTTGTTAACTTTTTTCCTATGGAACGAAGTGTACTCATATAATTTAGCAGCAGCATCTTATTCGTACATGCTGTTCTTGGCCTCAGTTCTTTCACATTGAAGCAACTATATATTTTTCGGTCTTAATATCATGTTATCTTATCTTGCTGTTCTTTCTTCCTTTTGGGCAGGCATTTAATTAGTTGGATGGAATTCCCACAAATCTTCAAAGGGCTGCAAATTGTTGCAGAGCTTCATTACAAAATTTTAAGGTTTGAACCCTGGGCCCTTCTTTTGTGCATAGTTTCTCACCGTTTGTGAATAACAGTAAGCTTCCCCGAATTTCTTTTGGCCATGAATCTTGTAGTGAAAGTGATTCTTCTCTTCAGTTCACTCTCATTCTTGATTTGAGTATATGCTTAAATGAGATGATGCTTTTACTATCAGGTAGCCAATTAATGTACATCGAAGTAATTATTTGTTGATTTCTAGTCTTAACGCAGCACAAGATTTTGCTTTGTCCTCTCTTAATACTTAACTCAATATATATCTTTCATTTTGCATTCAGGGTGATTGATAGTCTACTTGTTATGGGCAAGTGAAATGCAGTCAAGAGAGTGCCTCAGGGTAGAAGTAGTGATGATGTTGTCTTCCATAATGTAAAATGATTGACTTCATGTCTTTTTTTTTTAAATAGTTCTAGAAACGTTTGAAGTTTGAACACATGATGTTGCTTGTGATTGATATTTTATCACAGCCGTGGACCAGTTTTTTTTTTTTTGTTCTGTTTCTTGTTCATATTGTATATGTACACTTTTTTATGTTTACATTTAATGGTGAAGAAATTAAATACATTTTTTACTTATCTTGTGGTTCACTTAGGTGCTTGGCAAAGTGCAAATTGCTATTAGAAGTAACAGTGACTGCTGCAGAACTTTTGCTAAAAAATTTAGCTAACTAACTATTATCTTCTGTAACGAGATACCCAGTGACATAATGTTTCAGGTTTTAGCGACGGCTGTTATTCGTCACATAAACAATTACAAGGTGACGACTAATTTCGTCACCGAAAGTCAATATTTTATGTAACGACGTATTTTGTTACATAAACTACCTTTTAAGTGACGAGCATTTTCGGTCACAGAATAGTCTTCTTTATGTGACGGAAATTTTTGTCACACAAAGTTCATTCTTATGTGACGAAGTAAAAATTTTCGTCACAAATACTTTTTGCAACGGTCTATAGGTGACGCTCCCTGTGACGAGAAATTTTCGTCACATTAAGTTTTGGTGACGAAATTTTATACTTTTGGTGACGAATTTCGTCGTTACAGAAACTGTATTTTGTTGTAGTGAGAGCAGGCATAACGATTAACGGCAAGTACCTGCTGTATGTCCCCGGAGGACAGTACTCGCAGACAACATTATCCCCAGAGGTGGAGCAGAAGCAGATGCAGAGGCAGACACATCTAAATGCTCCTGCACATTATGCAAGCAAGTCTTGAGCAATCAAGTTCAAAACGGCCAGGAACTGAACTTCGATTCAACGTTTGTCAGTACTGTTCCCATCATGTTCTTATCTCTTAGAATCTTATTATGGTGTTATTTATGCTTAACAAATAAATGAATCTAAGACAAAATAGCTAGAACTTGGAATCAAACAACTTGGTATGTGTTATTAATTATGTATTGCGTGCTATCAGAAGTAGTAGAGTTCTAGCAGTTCGGTTTCAGTACTGATTAGTGTGTTGAACTGTTGATAGTATTTCATATTTTGTGCTTTCCGTATATTCACGATAAACTGCTTCTATATATTTCTTGGTGGAGTTGTTGTTCCGGAGTGGGACATATTATATATAGGACATTGTCTTCCCTGTATCGTTTTTTAGTTTTTTAACTTCTTCCTTTCCTGATACTCACATTATAAATGACCATTCGCAATTACTCACACAGCCTCCATGATGCAGCTGAATTCTATGTAGTTGCCAGAGCTGTAGGTGCTTGGCTATTTTATGTTAGGTCAAGAGCAGCTCATAAGTCATAACCCATTAGATACTTAGAAGCTTGCTCTCGATAGACTCATGTTAAGCAGGGTAAGACTTCCCCATTTTTGAAGCAGAACAGCCGCAAAATGACTTCTTCAATTTCTGTTGCCTGCTTCCTAAATGGGGTTAGGGATGGCAACAAAATCCGAATCCATGGATACCAACCCGACCCAACTCGGTCAACGCGGGTAAAATTCATGTTGACGGGTTTTGAGCCGGGTTTGGGTTTAAACCCGTTCACTATTCACCTGGTTGGGTTGGGTTTGGGTTTAGGTAAACCCGACCCATGGGTACCCGCCCACACCATATAATTAATTTTCTCGGCATATTTAATATTCTAAACAACTAATCTTATATATGTTTGTGGAGACATGTCTAATTTTTTCTTTCTAGTTATGTAGTATGAAGTTGATGTTAACGAGTGGATAGTGAAAAACTTAATTGAAAGGAATAAGCTTTCAATTAATCATGTTATTTATGGATAATTTGTGATTTGCTTCAAAAAAATTTTTTAGGTTTTCTAGATTGGTGTTGAACAATTTGTACAGTTAATTTGTGATTTGCTTGAATTTTCTAGAATGGTGTTTTATATATGGATAATTTGTATTGGGAAATTGATATTTGACTTTAATTTTGATAGGAATTTGTTATTGTGAATTTTTTACGACAAAAACCCGCGGATACCAATGAACCCGCGGATACCTAGCGGATTGGGTTGGGTTTGAGCTTTTCAAACCAGTAAGTTTTACCGCGGATTTTTTTCACGGATAAACCCATGGGTTTGGGTTTGGCAAAACCCGACCCAACCCGACCCATTGCCATCCATAATGGGGGTTAATACGCCTTGCATTTCTTTACGTTCCACATGACAGTTTCGCACATTGGTACAACTTGCAGTCTTCAATAAATTCC